TATAATAGTTGTAATGAACCTATGGTCTGAACATATGGCCCCACGTGTCTGAGTGACGTGGGCTTGATAGAGTTCAGGTGCATGTAGTTGAGTAGGATCAAAACCCCTGAGAATGTTGTAAACATCTTGACCGCGCCCTTACTTTGCCTCGTGGAATCTGCTATAAAATAAAGATAGGGCTTGTAGTCTGTGGTGCTGTCTCTCCATCCGGGAGCAATGTCCCACCCAGACCCAGCTTTCTTCCCTTGTCTGTCTTTTCTCCATCCTTCACCGCCCCCCTCAGGGTCACTGAACCAGGCTGAGCTGGTGCGGCACATAAGGCGCCCTGGGGCTGAGTATGCCATGGCCGTGCCAGCTCGCCACAGCCCCACCCCGTCAAGCCCCGCCAGGCGGGGGGCGAGACCTCAGGTCCCTCGGCCCGGCCTCGGGTCCCCCAGCCCCGGCGTGATGGTCATTTGCATATTAGCTCTTTATTATATAGGATTTAGCCAGTTCACTTTGTGAAAGGCTTCCTAGAGCAAACACAAGTTCTTTTCTCCTCTCCTACTGTGAGTTCAAAATTGCTTGTTGGCAACAGGAGGAAGCATGAGGTGACTAACAAGGCCAGGCTCTGCCTAGAGGTGGCCACACGGGCAGCTTACCAAATGCGTGGAAGAGGGATTCAGTTTCCAGATGAACCAGATGGGCTCTGGCTGGTTTGGCTCAGTGGATAGAGGGTCGGCCTGTGGACTGAAAGGTCCCGGGTATGAGATTCAGGCAGGGCCCAGAAGTATGGGCATGATCTCACCTTGTGCTACACTCAGCCCAGAGCCTGTACATAGCAGGTGCTCACTAGATGGGGTGAGTGACTGATACAGCCCATTAAAAAACACCGCCAGCCCTAACCGGTTTAGCTCAGTGGATAGAGCAATGATGGCGAACCTTTTGAGCTCGGTGTGTCAGCATTTTGAAAAACCCTAACTTAACTCTGGTGCCGTGTCACATATAGAAATTTTTTGATATTTGCAACCATAGTAAAACAAAGACTTATATTTTTGATATTTATTTTATATATTTAAATGCCATTTAACAAAGAAAAATCAACCAAAAAAAATGAGTTCGCGTGTCACCTCTGACACGCGTGTCATAGGCTCGCCATCACTGGTCTAAACTATATGACATTAAACTGATGGAAGCTGTTAGCAGAGCCCAGCAAGGACCCACGATTCAGAGTCAGAATGATGGACTTGACAATAAGCTAAGTGAGTGGGAGACACTGCCATTCACAGGATGTTCAGTGGTGAAAGGAACAAGAAATCAAGCCCACAGCATCTACTAAATGCAAAAAGATTTACACATGCGCCTTTTAGATAGCAGGCACACGGAACTTCCAATGGCGTGAGGTTCTCAGCAATCTTCCAAATGTAAACAAAAAAAAATGTGTGTTAGCTTATGTTTTTTGTACAGGTCAGGCTCTTCAAACTATTTTTCATGTATTAATTTGTTGCTATTTCACAGCTAGGTTATCAATTGAGAAATACTCTTTTCATATTTTAATCAATAAAAATATATATTAAAAAATAAATTAACATAATTTTTATAAAAAGACACGAGGAGGTATGTTTATGGATATGTATGTAAGTCCAAGCCCAGAGCTTCCAAAGCTCCCTGAGGCCCCCCGTTGGCAGCCAGACTCCTGGGGAGAAGCAGAAGGCAGGGGGCAGCAGATCCCGCGGGGAACGGGCGAGGC